GGCGGGGGCCGGGGCGGGCAGCAGCGGCAGGGCCATGCCGGCCGGGAAGGAGACGGTGATGCGGTCGATGGCGTTGCAGTAGTGGACGACGGGGCAAGGGGCCTGCTTGGCCTTGCGCTCCCGCAGCGTCTTCACCTTGGCCTTGTTGGTCTTGGTCAGGCGCTCGATGGTCTGGTTCTTGTTCTCCTCCGCCTTCTTGGCCGCCTGCAAGCGCCGCTTGCGGGCCCTCTCCTCCCGCTTCACCAGCATCTCCTCTGTCAGCTCCTTCGCCTTGTAGCCCATGGGCAGCTCCAGCAGCGGCTGGCTCTGCTGCTTGTGCAGGAGGGCTTTCTGCGGGGGCACAGGGGGCACTGTCACAACCCTGGCCCTCCCTGCCCCTCCAAGAGCTCAAACCCATCTCCCTCCCCGCCCAGTTCATCCACAGCACCCCATCTCACCTCAGTGGGCAGCAGAGCCAGCCCAGCACTTGGGCCACCAGCCCCACGGCCTCAGCAGCCCAGGCTGCAACCCTCAGCCCTGCCCCAGGTGGCTCTGTGGCCTCCTCCCTGACCCCCTCACCTGTCGGGCTGTCAGCAGGGACTCGTCCACCTCCTTCTTAAGCTCCCCGTTGTCGTCCAGCTCGCCCTTCTCCAGGGCATCGAGCCAGCGCTCTTCCTCCTCCTCCTCTTCCTCACGGGCAGGAAAACAGCTCTCTGAATCCAGGTCTGGCAGGGGTGAGGGGTCCAGGTTGCTGTCCTCATCTGGGCCGGGCAGTGGGGAGTAGAAGAGTCACCGGGGAGTGGGGTCACCCCATCCCGGGGTCAGGCCGCCCCTAAAGCCATGATGGAGCAACTCATGCCACCCCGGGCAGCAGGGCCAGGCCCTGGGAACGATGCCTGCCCCCTCTGTAGGGCACCAGGTGCTCCTCAGCCTGCCCCAGCGCGGGGGGCATGGCAGGACCCACAGCCCATTTAGAAGGGACCAAAGCATCCCTGCAGGCTCCTCCTTCTGCTCCAACCCTCCAAGGCTCCTCACCACCCTCCCCTACAGCCAACCCCTCTTGGAGCCCCCCCGTCCTGGCACTGCCCCCCGCATCCCTACTGCTGCCCCCAGGGCTCACCCAGCCAGGCCCGGTACTGCTCAATGGGCACCCCCTCCGTGGGCTCTTCCTCCTCGTCCACCACCATCAGCGGGGAGGGCGAGCGCGGTGCCTCGGGGACCACCGTGAAGGTCGGCACGCTGCAGAGAGAGAGAACGCGGGGCGGCCCATGAGGCCGGGACGGAGCCAACTGGGGCACGGGGCAACCTGCCCGGTCCCAGCAAGGCTGGGATACGGGGACAGGCGCCCGAGCGAGGGGTGGGAAGAGAGGCCGGCCGGGCCCCCCTCACCTCTTGGTGCCGAGGATCTGGCCCCCCAGCTTGATCTTGAGCTTGAGCTGGGGCTTGCGCAGGCCGGCCGCGGGCTCGGGGGCCGGGGGAGGCAGCGGCGGGCCCGCCGCCTCATGGTGGTGCTTCTTCTTGTGCTTCTTCTTGTGCTTCTTGTGCTTCTTCTTGTGAGAGCCGTGCCCGCCGCCCGCCTCGGCCTCTTCCCCTGCGGAGGGGACACACACACACACACAGCCGTCAAGCCCGGCCTGGGGACCCGCCACCGGCCCCTTAGCCCGGGACCCGGGCCTACTCCTCACCGTGCTCGCCGCCTTCCATCCTGCCGCGCCGCCAGGCCTTGCTCATCCGGCGATACCGCCGCTGGCGTCCCCCCGCCGCCTGGGGGAACCAATTCCAGGACGGACCTACTTCCGCCCGGCGCGGCGGAACGCCTATAGTACGGGCGGGGTGAAGCCGGCGCCGCCATCTTTGAAGTGGGCAAAGGCTTGGTGCGCTGCCCGTGCGGAAACCGCCGCCGCGGGCCCAAAGGGGCCCGCGGCGGCGGTTTCTGCGCGGGCAG